ATTCTAAGGTAAAACCCAGCGCATACAACGTTCATGTTTTGTTTTTGTTGTTTTGTTTTTTTTTCATCCAGACGGCTTCCCGCGCACCCCCTGCAATGGCACGCCGCCCCCACTTGGGGGCGTGCCCCACAGTTTGGGAACCTCTGCTCTAATCAAAACTGTGATGATGGTATATTCTCCATACCTGGTTCTGACCCAGCCTGGTTCTGACCCAGAGCGGTAAACCAGCTGCAGCGGACATCTTCATCGCGTTCAGTGACTCGGTGGTTCAAGCTACTGCTAACATGTTTTTTGTAACTTGACATTTTCTTTTATTTATTTATTGTATTTGTTGCTGCTTCTGGCCAAGACTTACTTAAAGTAGGTTTTGATATCAACGGCGTTTATTCTGGTTAAATAAAAATACTGCAGCCTGGCTAACTCAGCTTTTCTGCGCTGATCACTGGCTCGTTTCTGTTGCTAACCCGTTTGATGCTACCGGGTTACACAGCTGATCCTCCAACCATCCCGCGGGTTTTCAGTCTTAACTTGTTGAGACCAGCAGCTCCCCTGTGAACAGCATGAAGCTGAAACAGCTGGTGTAAATTCAGAGCCGGTCCGGTTCCGTCGTGACATCTGATGACCCAGCGATTCTCCGGACCCAGATTTCCCCGTCGAGCCGTTTTCATTTTTTCATTCTTGGGAAAAGGAGCGAAGTGGGACAAAGGTCAGCTGATTGGGCCTCCCTCTGAGCTGAGGAGGAGGAGGAGGAGGAGGAAGAGGAGCGTGATGTTGTCAGACTGCAGAGGGATCAGAGGCGCCGCTCGCTGCACGTCCTCCGTCAGCCCTGCAGTCTGTTGTTGCGCCTCAGACAGACGGAGCTGCCGCTGCAGAGCCATGACCGCCGCCGGGGGGAGGACGCCTCTGCCGCTCCGCCGCGCCTCCTGAACCCGCCGCTTTAGCGTCCGCTCGCCTCCTCAGCCTCCCTGTTTGTGTCGGCGAGGAGGAAGGAGGGGGGCGCCGGGTGGAGCGAAGGCCCCCTCCCATCGTCTGCTCTCCAGCCAGCAGCAGCAGCAGCAGCTGCCGCCCCGCAGCCCGCAGCAGCAGGAGGCGCCGCGCCGCCGCAGCATGCTGAACTCGGTGTGGTACGCCAAGAAGGTGGGCCGCCGCATCATGGGCACCCTGAGGAGGACGAAGAGGCTGCACCGCCGCCTGCTGGTAGGTTCCCCCCCCCCTGCTGCGTCACGCTCCGGTCAGGAACTGGAACCCGCTCCGGTCCGGGTCTGAGTCCGGATCCGATCCGGTTCTGTCCGCTGCAGAACGTTCCGGATCGTTGGCTGCTCTCGGATCATGGGAGCGCCTTATCGGGTTCGGGTAGGTCCAGAGCTGATCCGGGTTCTGATGGGATCCGGCCTCTCGCACGTGTCTTTCTGCCGTTGCCTAGCAACCTGTGGTGTCCCGGATACGCTGCGGCGCCTCAAACACGTCAACATCAGAACACGCTGTTCAGCCCGACAGAACCCGGCTGGGTCAGAACCGGGTCAGAGCAGAGAGGTTCTGCTGCTGCCTGGTCGATGCTCTCAGAACCATCAGCCGGTTCTGAAGTCTGATCCATCATCTGCGGGTCCAGTTCTGAGAAATCAGAACTTACGGTTTGGAGTTTGGGTCAGACGCTGTGTCAGAACCAGGTCGTGTTCTGTTCTCTGGTTCTGGTTCTTACTGGATCTGCAGAACCATGGTTTTGACTCAGGTTCTGATGCCCGGTTCACCTTCGGACAGTTCTGGAGCCGGTTCTTCTGGGTTAGAACCGGACCGTTTTTCTCAAGATGCATCAGAATCTGGAGCTTCCAGAACTGGCCGCTGTGGTACCACCCACAGCCGGACCTGTTCCACCAGATTCTGGAACCAGAACCAGAGCTGGGTTCTGGTTCTGGGCTCAGTGAGGCGGGCCGACCAGCAGGCGGCGCTGCAGCCTCACCAGACAGGCGTTCAGGAACCGCAAAGGTTCAGTTTGACCCGGTTTATGTGGACCTTCAGAACCACAGTGGATGAAGCGTTCAGGAACCGGGTTCAGTTTGACCCAATGACCTGGTTCTGATGCCAGGACAGATTTCCTCCAGTCCAGAAAGTTCTGATGGTACCAGACAGCAGTTTGTTGTTTTTTTTTTTTTGTTTTTTTTTGTTTTTTGTCTTGGAAAGGTTCTGATCCTGGAACTCGACCCGTGTAGATCAGAACCAGAACCGGGCCCAGTTCTGAGCGGCTGCAGCTTCCTGTCTGCGTCATCCTGCTGTTGACCCCGGGGGGTCGCATCGATTATTCATGCTCCCCTCCCCCACCCGCTGCTGATTAACCGGCTGCAGAGAGACGAGGTCGGCTCAGAGGGAGGGCAGGACGGGTTCTGGACGGCCCGGACCAGACGCTCCGGCCCGGTTCTGAAGGAACCTGCTGCAGAGGATGACGGCGCATCACCTGCGGCAGCCGCTGCCCTGCAGGCCGGAGCGGCGCCCGCTGGACCTGGCTCTCCAGGAGTCCCTCGCTCACCTGCACCCGCTGCAGCGCCAGCAGGCTATCGAGCTGCACAGGCAGAACCAGAACCGCCTGCCGGTCCAGAACCGCCTGCCGGTCCAAGCGTCGCTGTCCACCTTCACCTCCTGCACCGTCCCGGCTTCCTGCCGCGCCCGCAGCCGCTTCCTGAACCTGCGCGACAGCGTGAAGAAGAACCCGGCCAAGAGCACGGCCAAGATGGCCGACAGCCGCAGGGAGGTCCGCTGGACGCCCTTCGCCTTCAGCAAGGTACCGCAGCCGGGCCTCAGTCCCAGTAGGTCTGGACCAGACTGACCCAGTTCTGTTGGATTAGCGCTGCGGTCGGGTCGGACGGTTCAGAGCAGTGAGATGTTTTCCTCTCTACAGTCACCGGTTGCTTTCCCAACTTTAGTTATTCTCACATTGATGGTTTTTCTGCTCCAACTGTTTCATTCAGTGGTTGTAGTGTTTTTATTTTTTATTACTTTTTTTAGTGTTTTTACTCAAACTTTCCCCGTCGTGCCTGCAGCGCAGAGATCCTCTCTGTTTCAGGAGGGCTCACTCTGCTGGCCGTGGCGCTGCGGTGGGAGCGCTGTCGCTCCGTGGCGTTCCAGAAGTAGGGCTGCGGATCAATGCCGTCGATGTTCCTGGCTAAATTTAGCGGCGGCTGGTTTTCCATCAGCTGCTGCGTCAGGTTTTACTGTTGCGTAACGATGGAGGCGGCGTGCGGCTCGCTGCGTCCCGACGTCTGGAAGATCAGCGGCCAGCAGGAAGTTTAACGTCCTGGAGGGAAAATTAGGATTTAGTTTTTCAGTTTTCTAAATCGGTGTCTGTCCGTTTAGAGCTGGAAGGAAGGAGGACCTTCTCCTCCTCCTGTGGGTTTCCATGGCAACAACAGAAAAATATAAAACATAAAAAGTCCCACAACTCATGAATCTCTATTTTTGTCATTTTTTAAAACAATATTGCTTCTTTTTCTTAGTATTTTATCCATTTATTTTAGCTTAAATTATTGTGTAATTTAACAAACAAAATGCAGAATTTCAGTGATGATTCAGTGATTTCTGGCTGTGCAGTCGGGTCTGTAGAGTTTTGGCCGCTGCAGCTTCCCGTACCTGTTACCTGGTTGGGAGGCGGAGCTTGATGCGTTAATGAAATAATTTAAACGAATCAGATGTGAGTTTATGGAAGGTTTCCCTTCATTTTCCATAAAGCTGAAAACAGAAACATGTTAAGGACGGAAATAAAACTGAACAAACATTCATTAAAGAAACTTTTACTGTTTACAAGGATTTTATGTCAGTATTTTAAAGTTGGGTTTAAGATGGTTTTAAAAATATAGATCTTTTATAAAATGTGAAAACATGAGACTCTTTGTTTTGCACATAATCTGAGTTTATGAAGGAACGATTTTTTTAGGCTCTAGTGGCCTTTATTTGAAAGTAGTTTGACAGGAAAGAGGGGAAGACATGCAGCAAATGTCACCAGGCCGGGAATCGAACCTGCGACCATCGGCACGAGGACTAAGGCTCAGTACGTGGGTTGTGCTTTGCTCCTGCACCACCACAGCTTTTAAACTAATTTATGTTCTGAATCTTCGTGTTGAACCTGATTAACAGTAAATTTGGACCATTGGCTTCTGATTCACATCATTTAATGCTTAGTTTAATAAATAAGATTAAAACAGAAAAAGTGGAATTAGGTGAGTAAAGCTTATTTCACAGTGACCTGAGGATGATCCATATTTATATTAATGTTCAGCTCAAATTCATGATGTCGTTCAGTTTCACTGGTTCTGACCCGACTGATCAGGTCCTAGAACCAAACCGGCTCAGATTCTGGTTCTGGTCCAGTTCTTACAGTTTCTGGTCTTCTTTTGACCTTTGACCTTGTGAGCGTCTAGATTTGCCTAGATTTGGTTTTCTGTGGTAACTAAAGGACATCCACCCCCTGCTGGGGCAGTTCCTGCAGGACTGGGGTTTTACCCCCCTCCCACCCACCCACACACACACACACACACAGGAAGCCAGCAGCATGGCGGTGATCCTCAGAGCAGCAGAACATCTGAAATCCCTCCTCTGATTGGTCGATTTCTCTGACACTTCCAGCCGTTTTCAGTCCAGTTCTGCTCCATCCTCCTGCTGTTCATCTGTGTTTGTCTGACCTTTGACCCTCACCATGCTATTGTTCAGCAGGCCGAGGCCGCCCCGCCCTGCTCTCCTATAATCCCTGTGATCCCCATCGCTCCAATCCCAGCCGAGACCTCCGCCATCCCCGCAGCATCACAGGTTTCATTTTTTATTTCCTTCACTTTTCTTTCTCTCTCTGCTCCATCCCTCCATCCCTCCATCCATCCATCCATCATCTGTACAGTGATCCCTTGGTTTGTTTGGCTCCCCGTTTTGTTGAGTTCAGCTCCGTTTCTGCCGTCCAGCTGATGGACGGAGCAGATTAGAGTCGGCTGCCGCTGCAGCAACTCGTCTGGTTTCGGCCAATCAGGAGAGGTTTGAAGCAGGAGCCATCGGCTCGCCTCGCAGCGTCTGGTTAATTCCAGCCTTCATGCGTCTGCAGCGCTGCGTCTGCCTGGCGTTGGGGGTGGAGCTCAGGGTTTCTGCTGGATGCTGATGTCTGTTCTCTCCTCAGGCCAATCCTCCGCCCATGGTGGTCAACACCGACAGCCTGGACACGCCGCCATACGTGAGTCTCCATCAGCTCCAACCAACCAGAACGCAGCCTTCGTTAATATTAGCCTGCTAATGCTAATGTTTGCTCACTGATGCCAACTGATTTTCATATTTATTGCAGACTTCCAAATGCAGCAGTGAGCCAAATCACTTCAATGCTAAAAGTTTTTCTGATTGTTTGAAACTAAAATTGAGACGCAGATTTGAATAATTGACCCGTTTTGTCCTTTGGCTCAGTTTGTGTCCAACTAAAATTTATCACCAGTGAATTTAGTGAACAGAACTTGTGTTCTGTGTTGGTTTATCAAGATGCATGCAAGCACCAGTGTTAGCATGCTAACTCTGTTTATTACTTATTTTGAAAATAGAAAATAGTTTTTCTGATTTTCTTAACGTGTTTGACAGTTTACTCTGGCTTACAGTGTATGCTACTGCTACATTTAGCATGCTAATGCTTAGAGAAGTGCCGATCAGGTTTTTTCCTGCCGATTCAGATCACCCATGAGGGCCGATCACCGATACCGATCACATAATTATTATTTTTATCATAAACACTACCGGTTACATTATGTGGAAAAAGGAACCATGAATTCATCTTAATTTAGGCAAAAACT